CGTGAAACGTTTGTTCAAATTTTCGTCTCATAGGTGCACGTTGTAAAAGTGCGATTTATGCACTGGTTCTGGATAATATATGTATATGATTTTGTTTTATTAGCGTTAATTTAGTTGTGTACAAAGATCTTGATCGATTGCTTAAATAAGCTCTAAAAGTTCGCAGTTATGCTTCTTATTTATTCTTGCTAATTTAGCGAGTAAATAAAAACTTTAGTATTTAAAATAAATTATAGTTACATAATGCTACTCATATTTTTTAATCGCATTAATTTAATTATGAATAAAAATCTTTTAACCAATGAATAAAATTCGTGAATTAATAGATTGATATCTATGTTAATTTAACTTGTAATTGGTGCATCAAAAGTAAGCTACTTTATAGTGCGTAAATATTCTATGAAATTAAGATAAACTGTTTAAATCGCCTTATTTTAAATATAACTAAAAAAATGCAAGTTATTTTTATTGAATAAAAAGATTCATAATTTATCAGGCAATCAGTAACCAAAATCACATGTAAGCCAGCAAAATAATCCGGCTACCATTTTTTCTGGGCAATGCTAGGGTTGTTATCCTTATGACCGCCAAAATTTTTAAAGACCATATATCTATAAACAAACTAGTATAATTGACTCAAAATTGTTTTATACATTTATGTATATTATACGCTTTTTTTAAATAAAAATTAGTATACATATATGTAGACTATACGCTTTTCTTTTTTTATTGGCCTACGCAACGTCTTTTATGCTATTAACCTTACGATTATAAACAACACCTACATAGATCAGATGAGGTCTCAATTCTATTAAGAATACTAAAATAAATATTAAAAAATGATCAAGGTAATGGTGAAAAGAAATCTAGGCAACGCTACTAACATTTTTTAAAGCAGCAATAACGGAAGAATTGGTGAATATGCCAGATGATGTACTTCTTCAATATACTACTTTTATGACAAAACGTGTTCAAGCCTATATCGATACTACTACTAGTAAGGGCATATCAAAATTTGAAATTTATATGTAGGTTCCCTATCTAAATATGGTTTAAATTTTTTTTTAGTAGGAATGTACTGTATATGTAGAAAAATTTTTATAATAAATAACTACGATTATTACTTTTCGTGGTACCCGATACTAAATCTAAATTTTTAATTTAATATGCTAATGCTACACATTGAAAGTAGATTCTAATTTAAGAAATTCGAATTTTAAATTCGGATTATACTGTAGTTTAATATAATAATCTAGAAATTTAGAATTGAACTCAACAATTCATAGTCCTTTTAGTTTTTATTAAAATCAATGCTCACTGCTGACTAATATATACTTCAAATAAAGGAAAGAAAAAAAATTAATGTTACTCTCCACAAAACATTTAAATAGTCAAAGAGCCTATACTTTATAACGGAGGTAACAAAGTTAGTGCAATTGCAGAATTACACAATATTCTCTTGAAAAGATCCAGAATTTTAACAAATTCGCATTTTTAAATTGATCAAGTATTAGAATAGACTGGATAAACATGTTGACGATTACTTTTTAAAACTATACTACCAAAAAGGTCAAATTATTTAACACTTTAAAAATGTTAAACTTTTTGAAAGATAAATTTAAAGCAGTCTATAAACTCTGGATCTTTTCTGTGATTATTGTAAACTTCTGATAAATGTTAAATTATGGTGACCAAAAATTTTTTCAAGAAATTCCTTAGTTCAAGAATCAAAGACGACTCTTTATGATCGTAGCTTACATCATGTAGTCTATTTTAATGCATATGATGCAAGACTACGATTATAAAGGATTGGTCAATGTCAGGAACATGTAAAATTATTACAGCATTATGTTCTTAAAAAATCAATAGCTAGCATAATGCAGGAGCAAATAATCGTTGTAAACTAGTATTTTTTTAATATTGTTTCGATTCTTCTGACCCATGAATATGTTTGACAGTAAATTCACGTATAGTCCGTTCTGAATTAAAAGTTCAGATTTCTCTCAATAGAAAGGACAATACAAAATTTTTATTATTGTGTTATAGTAATAGTGTGATTTACTATAGTCAACCATATCCTTGAGGCTAATGTAGTACAAAAATCAGTAAATATCAAAGGTTTTAATCAAAACTTGAATTTTAACAAATTTTAAGCTTTAATGAATTTACTTGTTCCCGCCAACTCTAAACCTCACCATAATTTAACAGGTATTTAGTAACGGTAACAAAATAAATACGTATTAAAATAATGCTGTATTTATTATTAGGTAAGATGTGCTTCGAGGGCTTGTTTGATTTTTTTAAAAATATCAAAAACAAAAGGCTTATACCACGAGAATATTTATACAATAATATGAGTTATTCTTCACCAAAGATATCACCAAATGGAGAATACCTTGCTTTTCTTGCCCCAAAGGAAGGAGTTATGAATATTTTCATTTGTAAAATATCGTATGATGTAGATGACGCGAAATATATAAATAACGCGAAAGCCATTACTTTTAAAAATAATCGCGGAATTGTGGATTTTTATTGGACATTCGACAATAATATTTTGTATTCTAATGACAAGGATGGAAATGAGCGTGAGTAAAATAATCAATTTATATGTAGTTTAGTTCATATATATTCCGTTATTTTAAAACGGTTGATCTTAATAAATCGAATAGTAGACTTGCATTTTTTTAATTAATTATTTTTTAACGAAAGTCTGAGATCTATATGTGATCCTAACGAATATTTATTCGAAAAATTGTCACCCCACTAATCTCTTCTTTGGTAAGAATGTTATGCAAATGAATATCGCTAAAAGAAAACCCGAAAATTTAAATATAAGTCATATTTAAGTTTTCGGGTTTTCTTTTAGCGACATTCAAATATTCAACCGTTCATAAGTTACGGAACTTGTGTATTTAAGATACATATAAATTTATTAATTGTTTTAAATTTAATTTTTAGAGTATAAAATTTATTTGGTTAATATTTTAACAACTAAAACGGAATGTTTAACTAAAAAATACGATAATGTTCAATCTAAACTTATTCAACTTTCACCAAAAGACCCTAATAAAATAATTATTACAATCAATAGCCCGGATCCAACCGCTAACAGTCTTTACCAAATCAACCGAAAAACTCATGATATTACTCTAATCGAAAAAAATGATCAATCTTTTGAAGAATATTTTGTAGATAATTCATTAAAGATTAGATGCGCTACTAAACTTGTTACTAATTTAGAAGGAAATGTTTTTAAGGAAATTTATAAGAAAGTGGAAAGCGATCATAATTGGAAATTTCTTATTAGTTATGATATCGATAATATTAGATCTTCAACCATAATTTCAATAGATAACGATGGGGCAATTTATTTAGTTGACTCTCGTGATAGTGAATTCAATGCTATTTTTAAATTAGATATAAACGGTATACTTCAATTAATAGCAAAACCACCAAATCAGAAAGCAGATATTAATAAAATTCTCTTTCATCCCAAAACAAAAAAGCCTATTGCATATTCTGTCACTTATCTTAAAGATAAATGGTATCATATTGATGAAAAAATTTCTTATGATTTGGATATTTTAAGGAAATTTAATGAAGGTGAACTCGACATTCTTTCTCAATCATTGGATAATTTAATTTGGACTGTATCTTTTCAAAGTGGTGAACAACCTCCAAAGTATTATCTTTATAATCGAAGTGATCAATCAATTCATCATTTGTTTGATGCTAGACCGGAATTAAAAAAATATTCATTAGGTCAGGTCTTTCCTTTAGTAATTAAATCAAGAGACAATCTGGATTTAGTTTGCTACCTCACTCTTCCAGCTGGAAAACATGATCCTTCAACAGAATATATGCCAAAAAATCCTTTACCGTTAATTTTACGAGTTCATGGTGGTCCCTGGACTCGTGATTATTATACTTTTAAGGCTGATTCTCAATTATTTGCAAATCGTGGTTATGCTGTATTAAATGTAAATTATCGTTCTTCTATTGGACTTGGTAAGTCCTTAATTCGTGCTGGTATAGGTCAGTGGGGTAAAAAAATGAACGATGATTTAATCGGTAAATGTTAAAGTTTATCATTTAAAAAAAATTATTTGTAATTTTTCTTTTAATTTATTATGCAATTTGTATCATAAATAATATAGACGCAGTAAGGTGGGCAATTCGTGAAGGAATTGCTATCAAAGACAAGGTCGCAATTTATGGAGGAAGTTATGGCGGATTTGCTACATTAGCTGGGCTTGCCTTTACTGATGAGAAAGAAGAAAATTTTGGTTTTGCATGTGGTGTTGAATTTTCCGGACCTGCAAATCTTGGTAAATCTATAAGTCCCTTCTAAGTTTCAAATTTTAATTATCAAATATTTTAACATTACATTATTATCAAAGTAAAACTAGTCAGGTAATAAAATTTTATTCTGTTATAATTTCAATATCGTTATAGATTTGTCAGTTAAAAATATCATATATATGATTAGGACCATCCCTCCGTACTGGAAATCCTCGTATGATGAATTTGTATACCGTTTAGGTGGTAATCCAGATACAAAGGAAGGAAAGGAATTCTTAAAATCTTGTAGCCCATCAAAATATGCTAACAATATTAAAAAACCTTTATTAATCGCTCAAGGTATGCTTTTTTTACTTATTATTTTCGAAAATGCTATATTACTATTATAATTTATTTATAAATAGGCAAAAATGACCCACGTGTGAAATATGATGAAAAGTAAATTTCTGTTTCATTTCTACTATATTGATTCAAATAATGAGTTTATTTAAACATGACTATATTTGTTCTCTCTGTGTAGGAATATCATTCCCAAAACGCTTGAGTATAATTGTATTCCAGTTGTATATGTTTTATATCGTGATGAAGGTCACGGATTTGTCAAGCCTGAAAATTTACTTTCATTTGTTGCTCTTAAAGAATATTTTTTATCAAAATATTTAGGTGGTAGATGTGAAAAGTTTAACAAAAATGATTTTAAAAATTTAAAACTTGAAGTTTTATATGGCAAGAAATTATTGGGTTTAGATTAGAAATGGATATACTGCAGATTCTGATAGTATATCCAATGTGGCTTTCGTTAATTTGGATGAAGCAAATCATATATATAAAAGATCATTTTTTTAGAATTTTGAGATTTAATATTAATTTGAATTCTGAAGATTATGTAATCGGTAATTACTTTGTAGAGTTTTTGAGAATTGTACCTAAAAACCGAACATATACAATTTACAATTCATTCAAGATTATAATAGTCAATATGTAATAATGATCATGAAATCTAATTTAATATAATTTAAATCATTTAAATATCTATTCAAGGTTCTTTTCAAATACACAATGATTCAAGCTTTCCACTTTCTACGCATATTTTTCTCAATTCTGAATCAGGATTTTGTAAAAGAGTATATGGATTATCAAACTCGACGATCTTTCCATTGTCTGTTCCATTCATAAAGCAAATTTAGCACATAAATAAGCAAAAGAAATTAAAAAAAAAAAAACATAAAGAGAAAGCAATACCCAGCACTAGAATTTTATCATAATCCATAATAGTTTCTATGCGATGCGTAATATATAAAAGAGTTGAATCTTTGAATTCTTCACGTATTGTTTCTTGGATTTTACGGTCTATATCATAATCTATACTAGCAGTCAGTTCATCCATAATAACCACTTTAGATTTATTCAGAATTGCTCTTGCAAGAGCAATTTGCTGCCGTTGGCCTTGACTGAAATTGTTACCACCTACATCAACAATTGTATCAGGAGTTAATGAACTATCATTTCCAATTAAATGGGCCTTCCGAAGCGCATCGTAGATTTTATATGTTGGAATATCTTTGCCATGGCATAAATTGTCACTAATAAAAGAAAGTAAAATATATATTTACTATAATGTATAACATTTAAAAACATTTTCATTTGAGTAATAAGTGATAGATCGTAATTGAAGGGTATAACATTGCTCTACATTATTTTTAGACCCAAGAGAAGTTTACTTTGCATAAAAAAATTTCATTATAAACCAAATGCATTCAAACTAGTACTGTAGCATGCTAAATTGTTACCATAAGTGATGTCGGTTAAATGATTTGTCGGTGAAGTGCTGTTGGTGGAGTGATTGCCACCGATTATACCCTCTAACCACGATTTTGCTCTTAATTTTTTAACAGTACAATTGTAACTGATAATTCAGATGGCGAAATAATCACATAATGTAAGTTGTGAGAGTTGAATTTAGGTGGATTTAGAATTTAGGATATAAAGGTTTAAGGTGTGGGTTTATATAAAATAAGATTTGAAATTCTAATTCTTATTAAGAAATTCCAAATCCACTTGAGTTTCGTTCCCACTTACAATAGAACCAAATATAGAGATTAAAATATTAATTTTACCTTAACGAACCCTTAAAGAGTAATGGGTCTTGGGGTATTATAGAAATTTTACGTCTCAAGGCATATATGTCAACTTTTGAAATATCGATCCCATCAATAATTATCTGGCCATTGTTTGAATTTAATCTTATAAAAGATCTAGCCAGAGTGGACTTTCCAGATCCTATGAAAAAAAAGTTAAATTTAAAAAGATTCATTTAAGACGTGTATATGTCGTGCTTGAAGTTAGCACTTGCCTAACGTCGCAACTTCAACCTGCCTAAAATTACAAATGCGTGCAAGATGATCCAATTTCAAGGCTAATTTCAGTCAAGTGCAACTTTAGCTGCCTAAAGTTGCGACTTTAACTTCGGGCACGAAATAATGTACACATATTATAAACAATAAATAAATAAATAAAATACCAGTTCTACCAATAATTCCAATCTTTTCTCCAGGGTTTACGTGAAATGAAATATTTTTTAATACAGGAGGATCATTAATCGAGTATCGTACTTCAAGGTTTTTAACCTGAATATCTCCCATAGTAGGCCATTCATTTAATAAAGGACCAAGACTAACGATTATTTTTTGTTCACCTTCCAGTGCTAAATACTCATAAACTCTTTCCACTAAATAAATTAAATATTAAAAATGCAAAAAAAATATAAAAAATATCACTCTAACATTAATATAAAAACATTAAAATTACCAGAGTTCATGTTCATTTCCATGACTGAATAAGTGGTAATAGCATTGACAATATTTTTGCTAAAACTCAAAACACATGTAAGGATTAATCCTGCTAACCCTGCTTCCATTCCTTTTGAAAGGTCAAAGATGATAATAAAACCAATAGCAACACTAAATAAACCTCCTACTACATTGGCATGAGTATGAAGCCATTGGTTGCATGCCCAGTTTAATAGGAATGGTCGATTATTGTTATCTATAAGATCCCACATTTCTTTTCTTAATCTTTCTTCTGCTCCAAATGTACGGATTGTAGATATACCTGCAATAGTCTATGAAATGAAAAACGGAATAAGTAATAATTACTAATTGAAATATCTATTTTGACGTGAAGGAATGAAGATTTTACACTGTCAAATGTCGAATATATAGGAGACCTACTAACTGCTTCTAAGCCTAGATAACAAGTTTATAAATTATAGTGACTAAAAGTTGAATCATTAGACATCGAGAAAATTAAATTACTAACGTTTTAAATATCGGGATGTAGATATATATGATATGCCAATTATGGTATACAATACTGACACCGCAATGAAAATACAGGCAATTAACAATTTAAATCTTATACCAACATCGACATTAAATATAGCAGAAATCACCAACGCGGCAGCAGACATGAGCGAATAAATAAAAAATGTGACGTTGAGAGATAAAATTTGATCAATAATTTCCATGTCTTTTGAAAATCGATTCATAATTCTGCCTATAAATGATAATTGAAGTCAGCAATTACATGGATTTGATTGAATATTACAAATAAATTTTTTATTACCCATTGGAGTAGTATCGTAAAATCTAATCGTTGTATGTAAAATCTTCTCCAACATAGAGTTATGTAACTCTTTAGATGCTATTAAAGAGCCACGAAATATTAAATATGTTTTAAAAGATTTTAATAAAATGGCCAACAACGTGACAAATGCGTAAGCCCAGAAATAATAATCAACGTTATTAAATTCGTAGGACATAGGAAGAAACAGAGTATTGGTCAAGATAAAATTTCTTGTGATAAGATTGAAGCTCTCGGTCAAGGGAGAAAGGACTTCAGTATGAGAAACTGTTTGATTCACTTGATCGTGTTTATCGTGAGCATCAGCCCAACTTTTAATCAAAAAATCTAAGGAAATTTGTAAATCTAGTTATAAATTTTATTGTCGAATGAATCATCGTAGAATCATTAAATATAAAATACAAATTGTACAAAATTAATGACCTTGTTTCGTTTGGATATACCATGTTGCCAAAATTAGAATGCTTATTAAGAGCCAAACCATAATTCTTTTTTTTGATTTAATCATATAAGTAGCATAAACTCCCCAATTGACCATCCCTTCAGCTTTTATTTCCTCTGTGATCAATTTTTGAGGTTCGGAGGTACCAAATTCGAGATATTCACAGGATTGCTCTTCAATACGTTCATGTTCTAAAAGGTTATTGTGTGAATATTCTATTTTTTCTATTTGACCATCTTTAATGTATACTGTCATATAAGCATCATGGCAAAAGTCTTTGCAATGTGTAACAAGAATTATTGTTCTATTGATTGTTAGCTCACTAGTCAAAAATTGTTTGTATATAGATTTTGTAATTTGTAAATCGACAGCTTTAAAAATATTTTAGTATATATAAGAAATATTAGTAGTATATTGATATATAAAAACTCATTATAAATTTACCAGATAGGAAATCATCTACAATCAAAATTTCATGTTTAGAATAGATAGCTCTCGCTAAAGCAACACCTATAATAAAAAAAAGTCATTAACTCGGATAGTAATAAATTTATCTGTTATGTATATACTTACGTTGTTTTTGACCATTACTAAGTACGACACCATTTTCACCGATTTCAGTTTCATCGCCAGACGTTAAATTTCCTAAATCTTTCTCGAGCTCGCACATCCTTATAACTCTAAAATATCTTTCGGGTTCATATTTCTGACCGAATAGGATGTTGTCTCTAATAGTTCCATTCTGAAGCCATACTAAATAATAATAATAATAATATATATATATATTTTTTGCTGTAGTTAAACAATATTAGATACAGATTCGTTGACAGTCATTCATTTCAAAAACTAAATAATTATGGCCGTTTAAAATTACAATTTCGTTTAACGTTCCTCTGAAATTATCAAGCCAATTAAAACGTCCGTTGATTTCAATCAGGCATGTGACTATAGACCAACTAATAATAGGGAACATTTTTGCGATATAATACTGTTAAATTGATCCCTCCCCCACTGCACTTAAACTCTAAAAAAGAACGTTAAATAAAATTATAACTTCAAGCGGTCTTACAGTAAAAAAATATATATATGCAGAAGGTGTGTATCGATGGAATTACTTGATCTGTATACTAAAACTTTTCAGAATTAATAACTTCTGGACTAAACTGTAAACATTAAAGCATCAAATAACATAGCATACCGAAAATGTGTATAAGGTTGGCGGCACAGCTTTCCTGAACTACGTACGAATCAGAGTTCAAATTTAGGTGTAACGTAACACGACCAAGAAGATTCAAAACAAACGTTCATTTTGCCAGAAATCACTCATAGCTCAAAAATCAGTATAAGAAACCGCCTTTTGCGTTCTAACAAGAAAGTTTCGTTGGACAATTTTACTATATAAATTTTTCCTCTCTAGATTCTAAAAACTGACCTTAACCCAAACCTTAACGAATTTTAAGAATTTTGTCTGCGCCACCAACTTTGTACACATTTTCGGTATGCAATAAGATACGGCAGTGACGTATACATTAATACCTACGTACGTACGTACGTACCTATACGTACCTATGATGCGAGAGGGTACGTAGCAACAATGTACTCTAGCCATGACGAAAACGTGGCTTGTAAAATTTAGATTTAAACTGCGCCCTTCTCGGACCTTACCTAACCTAACGAGATATCTTATTTATGTTATATATTCGATCGATTGATTTTTAGGCGTCTGATCGAAAGTTTTTGAAATCATATGGCCCGACATTTCGTTTTCGTAATGGCTAGCAAACCTAAAATTGTCCAAGCGTTACCAACCTAAAAAACTTCACTATCTAGTAAAATTAAATTTCAATATCAAGTGAACCTAAAATCAAAACATACATTCAAACCCTGACATTAACACTGGTAATGCTAAGATGGTCCCTCCTAAATGTCTACATCTATATTAGATTGTTAATAGCCATTCATATTATAGTTGTGACCCGAAACCCGAAACCTTTCCGAAACCTTCAAGTTAGAATGCTAAAAATTAATACTCATTTGCATATAAAGTAACTAAAAAAACTCTTGGAATGCAATCTAATTATCATATACTTTAAGTTTTACAATTTAAATCTAAATTTCTAAGCTTTTCAGTATAGTGTTAGAGTTTGGAAAAGGTTTCGGGTTTCGGTTTCGGTTCGGGTTTCGGGTCACAATTATAAGGGTTTTGCCTTGAAAATGACCTTACGGTATCATGTACCGTAAGGTCATTTTCAAGGCAAAGACCCCATATATACATTCAATGCTGTCTATTGCAAAAAAAATTTTGGCACTTAATCATTAACACAAAAATAGTTCTTATAATTTAAGTGCATATACTGTCTATATGCATAAAAATCTTTGACGGATGGCATGCAATTAGACAGTATTGACTGTTCAAATGTGATAGATTGCTGGTACTCTCCGCTCCAAAAAGTATTCTGTAATAGAGATGGGAAATTATAATAATCTTTTTTGTGTAAATTGCTCATCTCTAATTCAGAATTTTTGTTTTCTTATGTGGAAAAATTTAGCCTATAATATAAAGATATAAAAAATAAAAATTACCTGTTTGGGCCACGTATGCAATTCTACCCTTCTTTGGTGAGAATAAATGGCCCTCAGAACACTTGACATCTAACGCCAATAGTGCCTTCAACAAACAACTTTTTCCACATCCAGAAGGACCAAAAATAATTGATAACTTTCCGGGAAGAAAACGGATATTCAAATTAATCAATGCGAATTTATTTGGACCTTTATTATTTGTCCATTGTATAGTGGCATTATCAAACCCAATACAATTATTGTTATCCAAAATGACACTGTTATTTTCAACAATTTTGCTGTCAATTTCGGATTCTCTTAAAAACTCTTCGATTCGAGATATTGAAACTAAAGCTGTAAAAATAATAAGCAATCATTTGTTTGTATGGTCTAGGGTATTATATTTACTTAAAAAACTTACCTTGGGTAATGCTAATAATGATTGATGGTGCTTCATTAAGGATATGAAGAAGATTTTTAAACAAAATAATAGCAGTAAAAGCGATACTGGAAGTTAACTCCTATTTTGGCCGATAGAAATTTCTGTTAAATTTTTATAACATTCATAAAAACAAAAACATTTAAGCGACAATAAAAATTCAATACTAACGTTTCCCAAGATTTTGGTGTACAAAAAGAATGAGAATAACATCATCAAAAATGTGCATATTTCCCACAGTATTCGTATATACATTCTCGTAAACATATAATTGTTAAGCTCATTTAACTCATTATCACGAGCAACAACAACTTTGTTACGAAAATCATCTTCCATTGCATAAATTTTGACGGTGCGAATAATTGTAAGTAACTGTTGATAAAGAAACAATTCGTAACTTTTACAAAATAAACAAATATTTTTGATACTAAATTATTGTTTAATTTACCTCGTCTAACACACCCACACGTTTATCAGTTGCAGCCATGAGACGTTTATGAATATCTCTAAATGTCTATAATTATAATTCGTAATTGTCAAAACTAATGAAAAAAAATCTTTTTCGTAAAAATAATCTGATTTACCTGAATAATTAATAATATGAATGGAAACATTATTACAAACGTGAGCCCAATTATTATGATGGACAAATCAAGCAGGGAATGTAGGGAGTATAAAGAAATAATCATTTGCACGGGAAGACAGTATACTAAAAACAATAAAAAAATAAAAAAAATAAGTGATAGGTAACAGTATATAATTTTATTATAAATATAGAACACCAAAACATACTATAAAACATGTTTCTTGCTAATGCCGAAACCTTTTGTGCATCGGAATCCGTGAGATCCGTAATCTTTCCTGTTTTATTTTTTGCCTCAGTGTTCCGACGCAAGGTTGTTTGATATACCATATCCATGATAATAGACTGCTTTTAATTAGATTTACCATTATCAATTAGTAAAATATAGAGAACTACTTCGTTATACCTTATATTTAATGGATAATTTTTGACCGATGTATGATGCTTGTTGAAAAAACAATTCTGGGACAACAGTACCAACGAATAGAAATAAAATATATAAATAACCAATTGCTTGTGGCTTCCCGTTATTGTTAGCAAAATTTTGAATATAGTGCAAAACTTCTTTGAGAAAGTAGGGTGGTACAAAATAACCAATTGACCCAATCATTGCGAAAATGAACTGAACCAGCAATTCTTTCCAAGAGGAGAAAACCAGTGACTTTAGAATCAAGTTATTTAGATTTATATTAAATATTTTTATAATAGTTTTAGTTTTAAGATAATCGGGCAGTTCAAAGATATCATTATCCTTTAGTGTAGAATTAAGAATCTTTTGAATTAAAGAATACATCCATAGGAACATTATTCGGCTACAAAGTGAGGCGTTCATTTCTGGTGATGGCGTTTGATTCTTCTTGGTTAATTAAATTATGAATTAGTAAAACTAAAAATAGTCTTCAAGGTTTCAATATTTAAAATCTGTTACCTTCATGACATAATTTGGTTTCTCTAAAATTGCAATGTACATCAAGAAACATAAGAAACAAAGAATCAACAAGAATAATATGTACTTTGTGTTAACGAACATTTCAATTTTTAGATGATCCAAATGGAGATTTTTTATCACATAAAACATTGAGAGAGGGTATAGAATGTTAAGATGGTTACGAATGTGTAATAAGTCATATTGTTGCGGATTGTTTTTCAAAATTAACGCCAACAAAGTTGCGTACATCTATAAAGAAAAACAAACAAATAAATAACAATAAAACTTATTAAAAATTTTTATAAATAAATGAAATTCACCCAAACAATAATCCAACAGATACAATCAAGCTCATGCAAATTTTGTAATATATCAAGGCAAACATGAAGCAGACAAATTACAATGGTGATATTGAGACGAGCTTTTGTCTTATCATTATTGTGAAGATTTACTTCTGTTTCATTATCATTGATTGAATTACTTGAATTAAATCGTCCATTAAATTGTGTCACTACCAAAATTAATGTTGAAATGATCAAATACAACAAAGGTACTTCAAAATCTATAAGACTGATTTTTTAAAAAAAAAAAAAATAATTAGATATACATTCATATGCTAATATGCTGCCTTTTGACCAATATATGAGTGTCGCTAAAAGAAAACCCGAAAATTTAAATATGACTTATATTTAAATTTTCAGGTTTCCTTTTAGCGACACTCATATAAATTTTTATTAAGATGGACATGATTCGAGTCAACTCGAGTTTGCTCACGAGTTGATTAGAGGAATTCTTAGGAACTCTTAATTTAAATGTAAGGGAGTCAACCATAAATTCAAGCTTTGAGTCAATTTGACACAAATGTAAGGGAGTCGACCTAAGTCGTGATTCTTCGAGTCATTATCGTCCTTAATTTTTATACATTGTATATAAGAAAAATACTTACAAGTCAATTTTAAAGCCCAAGGTTAGATACATTGTTATCGCATTATGCTATATACCTCGATTTTCGATTACTTGAATAGTTGCTCAAAAGTGCAAAGAAACTGAAAACAAAGCGCAGTTAAATTATATATGTGTGTGTGTGTACCGGGTCCTGACCGAGTGTTCGAAAAGTTCCTATACACGATCCCTATTTTTTTAAGTAAACATATATTGAGATCATGATTTGAATATTGCAAAAATAATTATTGTGATTTTTTTATATGAGTGTCGCTAAAAGAAAACCCGAAAATTTAAATATAAGTCATATTTAAATTTTCGGGTTTTCTTTTAGCGGCATTCATATATAAAGTCACTTAAAAAAAAGGGACTATGTATAGGAACTTTTAGAATACCCGGTATATATATATATATAATATATACCGGGTGTTTCAAGAGTTCTTATACATAGCCCCTTTTTTAGTGACCTTATTTATTGATACAAATAACTATGGATATTGCTTAGAGTGTCCAGAATTCTGCGGTGCATAATTCTGCTCACTCTAAAAATATCTTTTTGTATTGTCTCCGTAAGATAA